GCCTTCACTTTGAATTCTATCTGTTTTAGAGCTTTATCGGTGGCATCCATCTCTTCTTCTTTATGCACTTCGCTCATAGCAGCATCCTTCCCATACTCAAAATCTTGGCTCTTGAAGGCTTCATATTCATCAAGGAGGTTCTCTGCCTCATACTGAACCTGGATTTGAGCAGAAATGGCTTCATCTAGAACTTCACTGGTAATGGAAGCATGGAAGTGCCAGTTGAGCAGGAGAGGAAGTTGGTCTAAAAAGGTATAAAGCTTCATTTAGGCCACAGGGTTAAAAAGATGACTTCGAGACATAATGTCACAAGCCCATAGAAATTTTTTGTGGAGAATGTCATTTCGAAGGACTTCAAAAGATAAATGAGAAAATGCAGCAAGCAAGATCTGAGCCCTGAATTGCTGATAAGGAGTTGGAGGCGCCAGGACCCGGTAAAGGGGGAAGGATCGGCCCTTAGAGAGAGTGAGCCTCAATTCATTAATCCAATTTGGATTAGAAGGCAGGGGAGGAGTAGTCGAGGGTTCCCTAGGCGAATCCAGAAATTCAAGTCTGGCCACACATTCTAGCCAATCAGAGGGGTAAAGTTTTACCTTTTTGGCTAAAGGCGCAGGACTGATCCCTAAAGCTTCTTCAGGACGTGGGACACTTCGAACCATCCGAGATGGCAAGGTAAAAATATACCATGCTGTAAGTAGATTGTCTTCAAGACTGCTTCTACGGTTAATAAGAATGCATGGATATACTACAGAACTGCGTTTGGAAAGAGAAACTTCGAGAGAGTCATCGAATTCAGGGAAACGATGATGAATGCATTCCCTCGTTTGAGGTTGAGTAGGGGTAGGCCAAGTTCCCCAGCCAGAGGCGATAGAAGAAGAAGAAGCAGCAGCTTCGTCCCACGCAGATGGCTTTGTTGCAGAAGAAGAGCTTCCGATATCCATGGTCTCAAATTTGTGTTCCAAAGAATCGTAAGCAGTAGGTTCTCGATTCGAAGGTCGATGATTTGCGAAAACTTCCATAACTTGTATAAATGAAGGCAGATAAAGGTGGCTAATCAATGCATGAAGGTTCTTTCGAGGACGAACAACATCATCAAATAACTCTTCGTATGCTTGATCAATGTAAGAAAAGACTTGCTTGGCCATGAAAGATGTATCAGTCTTTTCGAATACTGAGATAATGGGGATGATCAAAGGATAGAAGAGAATTTAATGCAAGTATTGATGAATGACGGTTGCATTTCTGAAAAGCACAAAGCCCATGCACGTTCTAAGATGTGGATAAATACCTTGATCCACTAATATCACCAAGTATTGGGTATATTAGTGCGGGGGGTAATGTTGGCTATATATTTTGCATAAGCCAATCAAAGTTTAACACGTGGCAGGATGAGGGTAATACGGGAAAACAATTCAAGTCTTCAATCATAATCGCACACGTGGCAGTTAGTATTGGTTATTGTGGATCTATATAGTATGGAATTAGCAAAGAGGTGCAAGATGACGTGGCCTTAACGGTTACTAATATTTAAATTCAAATATCAGGAGGAAAGCCTAATTGCAGACATGGCGTAGTGGGGCTAACTGTGAGGAAACATGATCAGCAATCATGGAAGGATGATTCAGCGATTAGAAGCTCATTTCGACGGTTACCATTGAGAAGTATAAATAGTAGAGAAGGTCCCAGAAAGAAGCCCGAGACTCAGATCCAAAAAACCAATTTTATCTACTTTATTTTCTTTCCAGTTTTTATATTTCTTGTTCTTTACATTTCTGTACTTCAAATTCCTGCACTGCACTTCATTCATAGGAGTAGTTTCAAGTAGTTTGTCGCTATAAACCTCTACGAGGCTGATTTGAATCTTTGTAAGTCTTCAATTTTACTTAATGAAATGCTACAATTGTTCTTCATTTAATCATTGTTTACTTAATTCTCCTAAACAAAGCCACCAGTAAAACTCCTTTTCATTGAGGCTGAAAGAACTAAAACACAATCGTCTGATAATTGGTTGGCAATTAATATTCTGTAAGGACTGATTGATCCTTGCTGGCACGCTCAAAATTACAATAATAACCTTTGAAAGCCAAAAAGCCAACAATATTAATTTTCATAAAAAATACATTGAATTTAGTGAAAAAATATCTTTCCCAAAGTGTATTTGTTAGTGAAACTCTCAAATAAATTATTTTTCCTTTTACATTTTTAACTTTTTTGAAAGAACCTGAAAATAGTGAAACTCCATTTACATGATTGGTGCTGCACATTATTTAGCCAAAAAAGCTGTGAAAGACGGCCATGTTGCCACTTGGGAGCATTTTCCTCCGCTTTGGCTCTCTGTTTTGGAGAGGGATGCCTTGTCTTTAATAAAATATGTTTGGTACAATAGAATGAAATTAAGTAGAAATATAATGAGAGTGAGAATGAAGATAAGATTTAATGGAATGAAATATCTATTCCAATTCTATTGTTTGGTGATAAGATTTGTTTGGTTATGCCTATTAAACTCATAGGATGGAATAAATTTTTATTATTTATTTATTTTTTTAACAAGTTAGTAAACAAATAAATTAAAATTATATGTACATCGTGATAATGTTGATAATTGTGGAAGTGATGATGTGAGTCGTAATAGCAGTGGCGGTGACAGTGGCAACATCGGTGGTGGCAATAGCAATGATAGTAGGATGGTGATAGAAGATTGTTGTGCCCTTAGTAGTGGTAAGGTGGTGTTGTGGTTGTGATAGTGGTGGTGGTAGTGGCTGTGACGACGGCCAATGGTAGTAGAGTGATGGTTCTCGAGGTAGTGATGGTGGTTGTGTGATGTTTATGATGGTGGTGGTAGTAGTGGTAAGGTAATGGTTGTGATGGTAGAGACTGTGGTGGTAGTGAGAGCGGTGATAGTAGAGTAATGGTTCTAACGATAGTGATAGTGATGGTTTTATGGTTATCGATGTGGTGGTAATAATTGTGGCAGTAATAGTGGTGGTGGTGGTGGCGGCGGCATCGATTGTATGGTGGTGGCAGTACGGTGGTATGGTGGTTGTAGCGGCACCAATGGTGGTGGTAGTAGTGGTGGTGGCAGTGGTGGCGGTATGGTGGTGGAGTGGGTGGTAGTAGAATGGAATGGTTGTAGTAGCTAAATAATAATATTTTTTTTAAGTTGCAATAAAAAAACAATAATAAGATTTTATAATAATTTCATAATAGAATGGAATGGCCATTCCTTAGGTTGAAGAAAAGAATAGACAGCATTTGGTAGAATTTTCTAAATATGATTTGAGAATAGAGTTATATTTTGAGTTTGTACGTTTTGGAATTATGATTTGAGTGTGAAAAATTTGTTTGGTTACGAGTTTTGAAAAGAATTTTAAATTAAGCTTGAAATAAATGATGTGACATATGATATTTAATTCAAAAACTTACAACTCATAACTAAACACATAGCCCAAAATCCTATTCAAAGCTCATAAAAAAAATTTAAAAAAATTATGAAAATATTTTTTATTTAAAATATAAAAATAACAGGTGCCAAAAAAAAAACGAGCACTGTTCCGGTCAACCGTCCAGACGTTCGGATTAGCCAAATTTTTCTGCCTGGAAAGGAGTTTTCAAAAGTGGGTGTGGAATTATAATTTGAAAACTCAAAACAAATACCATACTAAAATCAATGGATAGAAATGTGTTTAGAGAGCTTCTCCAAAAACAGACTAAGCGTTATTAGAATAGACATTCTGTTTTAACCCATTTCATCGTATCAAACGTGCTCTAAGAGTTATTATGATTATCAATAAAGTTCTCATAGCACTTTCACCAAAATAAAAAAATAAAAAAAATTGCAGGATTAATTTTACTTTTATTTTTTTGATAAACAAAAAAAAAGGGATATTTGAAAAATAATTATACTATAGATAGATTTTTTTTTAATGCAATTATGACACCCACGACGAAGTTGTACCAGATATAAAAAAGACTTGTACTATACATACACGATAATTGTACCATTATAAAAATATAAAAATATTATTTCATTGTTTCACTTATTTTTTTCCCTTTCAAGTGGAATTTGTATTCAACTTTCAAGTGGAATTAGTCGTCCGTGTGTATTATGTGCCCGGAGCAAAAAGTATCAAACCTCCTCGTCATCTCTCATTGGATTCTTTTTGTGCATGCTTATCCAAAATTTGTTTTCTTGGTCCACCTGATTTGTATCTATCTTGTATATTAGAGTCATGAAAAACGATTTTTATAAAGAGGAGCACTACACCTAACAGATGTTTCCAAACATAATTCATCACTTAAAATTAAATGTAGTAATTAATAATTTATTAAACTCGTGTATAACCATAATTAATATTTTTAATAATTTAAGTAACTCTTAAAATATAAATTAAATTTACAAAAATATTAATATGAAATTTATTTAATTCTAACTAAATTTATAAATACTAAATAAAAATATCTATATACATTATAATAAACTCACCATCCCTACTGTCACCACAGTTACTATCACACTACAACATATAAGACTTTTGACGATCAATTATTTTAGTCCCTAAAACTATTATTTTAGTCTCTAAATGGTTTTTGTGACAAAATTAATTTTGTCACTAAAAAAGTCACTAAAAGTGCGTCTAGAAAAGTCTTTAGCGACCAATTTTTGAAAATGTCCCAAAAAATGACAATTAGTGACCAATTTTATAATGTCACAAAATGTTTGATTTTACAAGACTAAACATTTGGTCACTAATACTTCGTCATAAAATGTCCCAATTTGGTCGCAAAAAACAAAATAATGACACTTTTAATGACTATGATATTTGGTCGCTAAAAGACATATAACTTTCTCTACAACACATTTTCGTCGCTAAAAATCAAAGTTAAATTTTGTAATCATTTAATCTCATAGCTAAAATGCACAAAATTAAATGTCATCCAATCATATTTAAAAAAAAAATGACATCCACATATCAAACCCACTTTATTCCCAAACCATAATGAGTATATAGAAAGTAAATTTGACAAAAATTAAAACTGAAAGTTTCCAAATTCAAATCAAAGTAGTAACAGTTCAAATGAAGAATAGCAACAATAGTTTCTTCAAAGAAAATATCTAGAAAAGCATTTTCTCAACATCAATATCAGGCTTTATATCAGACAGGCTTGGCACAAGAGGCTTCAAGCTGTACTTAGGTGTGACACCCTTTGGACATCCCTGCAACCCAAAATTCAAAAAGAAGAATAAAATAATAAGAATCAACACAACATAACCTCATTAAATAATCAATAGTCATTCATAATCAAATAAGTTGCAAATATTGAAAAAACACGTTATCTCAGTGTACTTGGAGTATTAGTGAGCTATAATAAGAATCAACACAACAAGAAAGTGAGTCACCTAGAATCAACACAATAAGGTTATCATAATCCAAGCACGTTATCATAATCAAATGTTCTAAATAACAAACACACTAAATTTATAATTATGACAGATCTATCTAGAGCAAAAGGTACTTACTATAATGGTAAATCAGAAGTAAAACCTCCCCCCGACTAATCTGTTGCATCACCAAATCAATCTTGACATTGACCTCCACGCTATTAGACTCCAAGTTGTGCACTCTTGCATTCAGTTCCTCATTGATTCTGTAACCAAACTATAGAAGTCACATTACCCTCAAACCAAATGCTATGTAACTTAGAAAAGATTGATTCAGAAATACATTCATAGCTTTTACTCCCCAACTTTTAAAAAGAAAATAGGGTTTGTCACAATCTAAGTAAGTTTGGATTATGTTTTATAATCTGAGTGTGTTCACACTTGTACAGATCAAAATAGTAAGACCCGTTCATAATTATGTAGGAAATCGATGGTCCACAATCTGTCTTTTTATCACAGTTAGAACAAATATTATAAAGATGTATGTCTGTATAGTAAATTATTTCTTACAATAATTAATAAAACACACGAATCTGCTAAACTGCACAAATTGTGTATTGACTTCAAGACTTTGTTAAATTGGAACTAAACATGTAAATCATAGATAAGATAAGCCATTGGGGTTGCTGGCTACTTTATTAATTCTTCCACCAAAACATACAACTCTGATCCATATATTGTCCAAATCATAATCTTAAAAATTTTCTTTCCAAGGAGAACAATGGAGAGAAAGAAGCCGCAAAAGGAACACATATCTATTGGTTAATAAAGCACAGACCTCCACCCTAGTGGTGGTGACAACTTGTTACTGCTAGGCCTATAACATGATTAAAACATGCAATCAAAAAAACAAATCGCTAGGCTTTCAGCATCTTTTGGTTACTCTGATTCAAATATAGAAGTGAACATATCAATATAAAATAATAACAAGCACATCTCTTCTTCAATCATCAAACATCTCCTTTAGGTAAATTATTCTTCCAGCAACTTCCATGCTAATTCAGGATGAATAATCAAGTGTAAATATGACAAATAAATGTTGTTCTTTCCAAAGAATCCAAAATGTTGGTCTTTCCAAAGAATCATAACCTTAGCCTTGCAGCAACAATGCTGAAAATATTCAAATCATACCATTTTGTCTCATAAACATTCACTCAAATATTTCCAAACTCAAGAACAGGTGAGTAGTTCTCAATGCAAGTAACCAATACTTAGACAAGTAATCATTAACAGGAAAATACTTATATTTAACATTAGAAAATTCTTACATGTCTAATTTCAGCTTCATTATGGACCCATGCTTGCCTTTTCTGACTAACGTGTCTTGTGATACAAATCAACAAGTCCAAGCTCCTTTCCATCCTCGTCTCGCTGTCAAAACCTTTATAGTTAGTATCCTATGGAGTACATACATCACCAAATAAAAGAAATAAAAAAAGTGCCATGTAGACCCTATGATTTAAAGGTCAGTTGTTTACCTCATCATATTGCACCTTTCTAACTGCCTTTGAGCCAGCTGTAATGTGAGGCTTCGTGACTTCCCACGTCCTTTCTTATGCTCGGTTGTATCTATTAAAAACAACATATAGAAAAAACGCATCAATGTCTAACATATGAATTGGATGAAAAGAATAAACAACCAACCAAAAAAGAATATAAAACTAAAATATTTACAAACCTACCAGCAATACAACAATCCGTGCTAGAAGTATCCAAGTATGAAGATTGTGATGTAACTTCATGCATAGATGCTGATGTAGCTGCAGATGTTGATGCAGATGTTGTTGGGGGCACAAACTTCGACGTAAATGAAGAAATTGACTGAGTTGATGTGGATGCAAAAGATCTAGCTGCTACTTTTTTGAGATGGCAATGCTTGTCAAATAAATTAGCAGAAGTAATATACTTACTATAAAAAGCATTTTATAAGAAACTGAGTGTCCTAAGTTTTTAAACACTTAAACAACCGAGATAATGAAACATGGCATACCACAACAAAATACTATTATGCAATTGATTCAGACAATGCACCGCTAGTCTCAAGGACGATAGAATCAATCATCAATTTCATCTTCCGGATCACTATCATCATCAACTTGATCATCCATGTCTTTGATGATAACTCCTTAAAGAACAAGCTAAACTCAATTAATGCCTTGCTCACATCCTTTTTCAAACATCCACGTAGAGCAATAGGAAGCAATCTTTGCAAGATAACATGGCAATCATGGCTTTTCAACCCCGTAATTCGACAGTCAATTTAAACTTTTATTTCCTAATTATATTATTAAACATTTTTCAATTCAAGAAATTTTTGCCAAATCCTATAAACTGCATAAAAATAAGAAGGGCGTGCTGGAATGGGTCAATTGCATAACTTTCGGCATAATATGAACTAAGTGGCTGCTTTCAAACTCGATGTCACATCCTAAAGCTCGGTAGGCAGAGCATTTTACCATAACACCAAGCAATGGCCCCTGACTAGTAGAATGTATAATTACGAATATATTAACAATACCGATTTTAATAAGAAATAATATACTAAAGAGCACCAAAGAGGAGGCAAATAAAATCATCAAAAAACAACAGGTGTGTTATTCCTGATCATTGAGTAATTGTTAATGTAGTTTCATCAAAAAACAACAATCTGTTGATCCTTTTATTTATTTATTTATTTTGATAGATCTTAGCCTTAATTTCTTAATTGGTTGTAGAATTAGAAAGCGAAAATTCAAAAAAATGGCAAGAAATCAAGCACAATTTACCTTCAACCTTGCTAACCGCAGCTTTAATACTGCCAAATCCACCTATCATACCCAAAAAAAATTCTTTGGTCAGTCCATGGACAAGTATCAAGTCTATCGAGAAGAACAAACACCTAACAATAACTGATATCATGCTAGCATCATCAGCAGCCCAGTACAAGCAGCCTACACAAGAGCTGCAGCCTCACCACAAGTGTGTGCAAGTGCATTACAAGTGTGTTCAACAATTACCTGGTACGTCTTATCATTCCATAATTGACACAGGTATCGCCACACCTCTTTTTCGATATCTTCATGTGGGTTTGCAAGGGCTGATTCCATCATAGGGAAACTTCTAAAATGTTGGCGTAGATTAAAGCGGTAGGTCTTGTACTGGAGTTTCATCATTCCAAGGATAGAAGTAATAGCGTAAGGTTCATTACTAAAAATGAAACCTTCCTGCCATACCAATAAAATTAAACACTTCAAAACATTAAGCAACATAATTCATAAACTAAAAGGGAATATTAAACTAGACTTAAAAAAAGCTATCTTACTCGAAGGTATGCAATTAGCGTTTCTTTATCCTCAGGGCTAATAAAACTCCACTTCGGCACATTTTGTGGGGCAAATTGCCTAGTGACGATCCCCAACTCGGTGGTGAATTTATCAGACCATGGTCCCAATGGATTCCCAGTAATCCTACAAATTTCAACATCCAATCGCTTCCCTTGACTTTTTATCTTGAGTAATGCAAGGCTTCGTGACTTCCCATGTCCTTTCTTACGCTTTGTTGTATCTATTAAAAACAACATATAGAAAAAACACATCAATAATAAACAACCAACCGAAAAAGAATATAAAACTAAAATATTTACAAACCTACCAGCAATACAACAATCCGTGCTAGAAGTATCCAAGTATGAGGCTTGTGATGTAACTTCATGCATAGATGTCGATGCTGATGCAGCTGCAGATGTTGATGCAGATGTTGTTGGGGGCACAAACTTTGACGTAAATGAAGGAATTGACTGAATAGATGTGGATGCAAAAGATGTAGCTGCTAATTTGTTGGGCACATAGCCTCCCTGTCCTCTACCTCTAAAAATCAATAACAAGAACAATAAAATGGTTTCAGCTGTCTTACATAGAAATGTCTAGTGTATCTATATGATGATCTTCGTAGGTTTAGTAATATAAAATGGTTTCAGCTGTCTTACATAGAAATGAAGTTTTTGAACAATTCTATTTATGAATACTTTTCAGCTATCACATGTGGGTCCACTTTCATTGTAAGTAAGTGATAAAAAATATTATAAAAAAAAATGTGGCTGTAACAAGGCTCTTCAAATTTATTTTGAATGTAATGTGAGTTGCATTTAGAATAAATTTAATTTATACATTTTAAAATTATGAATACTTTTCAAATGAAAATTCTGAATACATAACATTACTTTACTATATCAAATTCCAAATGAAATACAAAGGCCAGGTATGTGCAGGAAATTAGGGTTGCAAAGCCACTTCAGCTGTCTTTTTTTTTCTGTCATACCTTTCTTGGCGAAGTTTTTCTGCCATAGGATCCAGTGGCACTTCTTTCACTACTTCAAGAATTTTTCCCTTCTGTACACTCGCTTTTGCATTTGTCTTCTTGAGGACCTTTTCTGTAGTAGCTGCAGGTGCAGGTGCCTGAACATATCACATGAAAAACAACAAAAGCCAAATGAGGATAATAAATAACAAAACAGCAACAAATAATACATACAATGCCATTACAATTCATATGAATTCTGAAATGCTGAAAACAACAGATCCATTTATTTTCTTAGGTCATCAACTGTTGTTGGCTACAAGTACGTCTTCCAATTGGCCTTTATTGATAGTACCTTTGCAGCAACAGATTCCGTTGCACGCTTCCTCCATAGATCAGCTTTCCGAGTTTCAAATTCCTCTCTACTCATGATGGGGGGTCCAGGATTGATGCCCATCCTAAAATCCGCAAGATCCCTAAAATCCGCAAGAAAATTAGTCAAATTGTTTTGAAAAAGGATAACATTACATTAAAGGCTGAATAGATGATAAAAAAAATGTAAAGCCCATTTCATTGCTGATAGTCAAATGATCATACATCATAACAATTATTGAACCATAAAAGCTTCAAATGATTCATAAACATAGAACTTGGTTAAAGACTCTTCCAATACAACTAAAAACTTTTGGAGTACACTATCAGCCGCAAAGAGCAAATGGATTTGGTACTCATGAACAAGCATAGAGAATCCAATTCACAAACAGAACTATGTAGACCACCATCTAAGATTTTAAAAAATAAATAAACAAATAAGAGAAAAAAAAATTAACAAAATAGTATCTTTTCTCAAGCTTTTCCATTTTAAAGGACAAATATGATAACGTTGGAAACAAGACAAAGTATTAAAATGAAATAAGCAACAAAACAAAGCACACTTTTTTTGACAAGAAAACTTGAAATGGAAATAAGCAATAGCAATTATAAATCTTACATGATGTTAAAATGGAAATCATTTGGAAACAAGACAAAATATTCATCGATAGATATAATCTTCATCAATTTCATCTTCCGGATCACTATCATCATCAATCATATCATCATCAACTTGATCATCCATGTTAGTGTCATCATCATCCGCATTATTATCATTAATGAGCACTTCATCATCAACTTCAAGTTCCTCCTCGTGAAATTCGCCAGTAATGTCAACACATATCATTTCCATGACTTCTTTGCATAATTCTATGGGTTGATCATCAATCTGCACCACATCCCTAAGTCCATACGACTCAAATTGTTGGTATGGTTCATCTTTGTCTTTGTCTTCCTCTTCCGCTTCCTCTTCCTCTTCATCCTCTTTCACTAAGATGTCATAAATAGCCCGTGGTAATACTCTTTGTACAACTCGATAATTATTGCCCCACTTCGTATCTTTCAAATAAAACACTTGTTCCGCTTGGCATGCTAACACAAATGGTTCATCTTTGTACCAAGTCTTCGTAACATTTACACAAATGTAGTTAAACTCATCAACTTTTATTCCAATTTTTTCGTTACCAACATCCCACCAATTACACTTAAAAAGAAACACACTATTCCCACCTAGATATTTCAACTCAATTATCTCTCTAATAACACCATAAAAATCAATAGGTTTCCCTTTATGATCTCCCTTCACAACCACGCCACTATTTTGAGTTTTTCGGTACATGTCACAATCTTGAGTGCGAAACCGAATCCGGTTGATGATACAACCATTGTAGCGTGTCACTCGGTAATCAGGACCTCGAGCTAAGTTCATAAGTTGATTGGAAGCATCCATTGTCCCTTCAACTTGCAGCTTTGTGACCTAATTCCATTGTTAATACGAAATGCATTAGCATACACTTCAATTCATTAATTCAAAACACAAATAATGTTCAAAAATTATAACTCTTACATATTTTAGAAGCCATGTATGGAACTCTGATTCTAGCCTCTCTTGCATATTTGTCAAACCTTGTCCTTCAAGTTCATCCATGTATTGCCTATAAATTATAACAACATTATTCGACACAAATGGTTGTGAAAATAATATAATTCAAAAAGTAAAATATTCTAGTGAATATAATCATATGGTAGTTTACTTACAGCATATATGGTCGAACTTCATCACAATTATTCAACACGTACCATCGAACTTTTTTCAAATCCGCTAAATTCAACACATCATTAATTGCAGCTCCTAATCCACGAACTTTTTGCCTAAATACAAACAAGTTTCCATCTTGTGCTACCTTAATAGGCCCATCATAGTTTCGTTCAGGTCTATTAAATCTTGTCTCACCTTCATGGAAGTACATAAAGCAAAAAGTGAGAGCCTCATTGTCAATGTAACCTTCAGCAATAGATCCTTCTGGACGAGCTTTGTTGCGCACATAACCCTTAAGAATATGCATGTACCTTTCAAATCCATACATCCACCGGTATTGCACCGGTCCTGCAAGGATTGCTTCACGCGATAAGTGAATGGATAAATGAATCATAATATCAAAAAAAGATGGTGGAAATATCTTCTCGAGCTTGCACAAAATTAAAACAATATCTTTCTCAAGTTGTTCTAAGACATCAACTCTCAATGTCTTTGACGATAACTCCTTAAAGAACAAGCTAAACTCAATTAATGCCTTGCTCACATCCTTTTTCAAACATCCACGTAGAGCAATAGGAAGCAATCTTTGCAAGATAACATGGCAATCATGGCTTTTCAACCCCGTAATTCGACAGTCACTAGTGTTCACACAATGTGATATGTTTGATGCATAGCCATCTGGCAATTTAATTGAACTCAAGAATTCACAAAAGTTCCTCTTTTCAGTTGGAGACAACATGAAGCAAGCAGGAGGTAGGAATGTTTGGCCATGTACTTCCCTTGGATGTAATTCAGGCCTTATACCCATATCCATTAGATCAAGACGAGCCTTGTATGTGTCCTTGGTTTTTCCATCAATGTTCATCAATGTTCCTAGAACACTATCACATACATTTTTTTCAATGTGCATAACATCAAGGTTGTGACGAACTTTGAGGGTTTTCCAATAAGGTAAATCAAAGAAAATGCTCCTCCTTGTCCAATTTAAATATTGAGGAGAACGTTTTCGCTTCTTCCCACGGTGATCTATTTTCCCAAATAATGATGGGTCTAAATGCCCCAATTAACCCAAAACCTCATCTCCTGACAACAACTTAGGTTCTAACCTAAGCTCTGGCTCACCATTGAATGACTTGCTTGTTCGCAAAAAATGATCATGAGGCAAAAAACCATGATGTCCCATGTAACAAGTTTTTCTACAATGATGCAAGTATTGGTGAGATGCATTCTCATTGCATGACGGACAAGCCAATTTGCCTTTGGTGCTCCAACCGGATAAATTACCATACGCAGGAAAGTCATTGATAGTCCATAATAATGCCGCACACAGTTGAAAATTAGAGTCACTTGATGCATCGTAGGTCTCTACCCCTACTATATGCCCCAATTGACCCAAGACCTCCTCTCCTGACAACAACTTAGGTTCTAACCTAAGCTCTGGCTCACCATTGAATGACTTGCTTGTTCGCAAAAAATGATCATGAGGCAAAAAACGACGATGTCCCATGTAACAAGTTTTCTTCCAATGATGCAAGTATTTGTGAGATGCATCCTCATTACATGAAGGACAAGCCAATTTTCCTTTGGTGCTTTAATCGGATAGGTTACCATATACAAGGAAATCGTTAATGGTCCATAACAATGCGGCACGTAATTGAAAATTCTGGCCATTTGATGCATCAAATGTCTCTACCCCTACCTCCCATAAATCCTTTAACTCATCTATCAAAATCAATGGCCGTAAAAACACATCAATGTCAAATTCGGGAGCCCTACGCTCAGGAATAAGCAAAGGCATCATAAAAAATGGATCTTTCATGCATTTCCAGGGTGGCAAATTGTACGGGACAATAAAAACTGGCCATATGCTATATGAGGTACTCATATTCCCAAATGGATTGAAGCCGTCACTTGCTAATCCGAGCCTAACATTTCGAGGATCTTTGGCGAATGACTCATGCTTTTTGTCAAAGTCTTTCCATGCTTCAGAGTCCGCCGGATGGCGCATTACATTTTTCTCCTCTACGCGTTTATCTTTGTGCCACCTCATATCAGTAGCTGTCTTCCTTGATATAAATAACCTTTGTAGCCTTGGTTTTAAAGGAAAGTACCGCAAAACCTTGTGAGGGATCTTTTTACCTTTACCTTCACCTTTATGAAATTTGTATCTAGGCTCCATGCAAGTAGGGCGTTTATCTTCATTTTCATACTCCTTCCAAAAAAGTACACAATCGTTCTTGCATACATGTATTTTTTGATAATCAAGGCCCAAATCTCGAAGTATTTGTTTAACTTCATTGTCTGAGCATGGAAGTGTTTCACCGATGGGAAGTGCATCCTTCAACAGTTGTAGCATCATCGTGAGTGATTTGTTGCTCCATTTATTGAGCACCTTTATATGTAGCAACTTAACAATGAATGATAATTTGGAATATCGCTGGCAATTCGGATACAATTCTTGTTCTGCATCTCTCATTAATCTTGCAAATGTATTTCCTTATATGTAGCAGCTTAACAATGAATGATAATTTGGAATATCGCTGGCAATTCGGATACAATTCTTATTCTGCATCCCTCATTAATCTTGCAAATATATTTCCTTCACTACTATGAGCACCAAACAAGTCAGGATTATGACTAATAGATGCTTCCCCAGTATAAGCAAATGTGGCTGGTCCACTATGTATGTCATGGACAATTCTCGCACCTCAGTATTGGGAGAATTTGATTTCTCTATCACATCATTGAAATATTCGTCATTTTCATTTTCCGAGGGATCACTGTCATTCAACTCAAAATCTTCCCCATGATACACCCACCTAGTGTAAGTCGTGACAACCCCATATGCAAACAAATGAATTTCAACTTCATCTATGATTTTTTGGATACGGTTGTTGCATCTATTACACGGACACCAAATCTTACTCATCCCTGATTTCATATGATCACGAGCAAACATGATATATTCTTTTACCCTATCAATGTATTGATGTAACCTTCTATTATGAAGTTGCATCCAACTCATATCCATCCCAAAATCCTTATTACAAAGTACACAAAGACATTATCCTTCAATTCCAATATCTTGTTACTTTCTATATGTGGTCTTAAAGGAGGAACACAACTAAATTCTTAAAGAAGTTTCACTAATATGTATATCTACTTTTGACTATGTGATTCATATCTATCTTTTGACAAACAAAAATTCAGGGATGTATTGCCAAGGCACACCACATAAAACAAAAGCAAAAACAAAAGCAAAAGCAAAACATTAGGACACATAATAACATTGATAACAATCATATCCCAACTTTAAAAAATAAATAAATAAATAATCGCAATGTTAAGTTAAATAAGGTCATAAATCAAATAAGGTCAAACCCTATAAAGAGAAGAAAGGTTTGGCAATGCTAAGTTCAAGTGTAATGGCTATAGCATACCAAATGGCTTTCTATAGGAGGCTGGTGATTACGGCAGTAAAATCCAACAAGTAAAGAAAGAAAAACAAAACATAAATTGCAAACATGCATACATACACTAGAAACAAGTAGAGAAAGAAAAACATAACATAAAGCTGAAGGAGAAGAGTAAGAGTGCTTTTGGGAGCTGTGATTTGGGTATGTTGGGCAAAACGTGCTTAAGATCTCGAACAATACCATTTCGGCTAGTTGGGATTGAAGATGTTGAATCTAAGCGTGTTTTGATTGAATTGCCTGGAGTCTTAAGGGATAAGAAGCAACATGAGGAATTTAAGACGAATTCGGGGTGTTTTGATTAATTAGGTTTAAAAACCTCATAACTATAAAAGTTTCTTCCTCTCTAAACATTATTCAATACTTTCATATATACCACGGTATTATATTTTTTACTAATAAAAATCTTTGTTTTGTTAAATATTTTTGATTGGTTGATTTTTTTCTACATAAACAATACCCAAAAAAAAAATACATAACCACCGTTCCAAAAAATAAATAAATAAAAAAAGTAACCAAAAAAATTATAAAAAAAAAGCTAAAAAATATTTAATTTTTTGACACATCCCTACATATAACCAACCACCCTTCAAACAAAAAAACCAAACGCAGCCCAACAAATAAAATAAAAGAAAAAAACAAATAAAAAAAAAAAAACAACAACCAAACCAACACAACCTGACAAATAGAAAAGAAAAGAAAAAAAAAACAATTGGAGGCATTCGAGCCTCGATTTGTCAAAGGCGCCAAGCGTTAGTCTTAGTGGAAAGTCCAATTCTGTTTTTGATTTTAACTTGTCAAACACAAACTCAACCTCCCATCTAAGAAAGAACAAAACACAAACTTAACCTAAATAGCTACAACTATTACTCTGATGATATTGTTATTGTAGCATGAATTTATAAGAGTTAAGTGTTTGAACTTGTGGTGATATATTGGCCTCTTTGAAATTAGAACTCAATGATCATTTATTTTTAAAATCTATCAACTGAATATCTTTTCAAATTAGTAAAATGCTTCAGTTTTTAGATTTCAAAACAATCCTACATCCTCCAATCTTATTTCTTTAAACAAACTATCGCTTGTTGATGTATGTACCACAACTTCTAATGTATAGATAGATAGATAGATAGATAGATAGACAGATAGATAGATAGATAGATAGATCACGTTTGACAAACCTTGCTAAAACTGAATTTAGTTCAAAAGATCAAAACTTACAACCATTGCGATTTGGTACAACATGAGAAGAAGAACCGGAATGCATATATTACAACTAGTGATGAATTTGTATTGATCTCACAAAAGATCAGATGAGATCACAAGATGGTGCAAGGATGTGTGCATGGCTCGTAAATTGGCTGGTAAAAAGTAGTATAGAACGGTGGCAGTGTATTAGGGTAGTTGTGAATATATGGATTATCTCCTTCCTACAGGCTTTCTAGTTTGGGATGGCGGTAGATTAGGCTTTCACAAGATGGGAGAGTCCTTGTGTGGACTATGGCGAATGAAGGGGATCAATGGGATGGTAAGGTTTTAAAGGATTTTCAGACCCCTGTTTGGGATGGTAAGGTTCTGATTTCTTAAATGATCTGTTTGTTTGGCACAATAATCTATTATAATGCAATTCTGTTTGACGCGTAGATTTCATTATTGATTTAT